GATATAAAAGCAGATTAAATCCCACAATCATTGTTCAGGTTTCATGTAGCGTAGCTCAGCAATGACTGTCCTTCCTGATCTCCTAAATATGACACATTATCTCAATATTATGAAATGAGATCTAAAAAAAAGAAAAAAACCGGCCGAATGGTTTTCCTTGGGGAAAGCAAAAACCCTCCCGAAAACCGAAGACCGTTTGAAATGTCTTATACAGACGCTTCAACGCGAATCCATTAAGCTCTGCTAGTTTATTAAGGTTCGAGCAGAGGTGGGGAGTAACTAGTTACGATTACTTCAGTTACTTTTAAATTTACTTTAGTTTTTCTTTTACATGGTAATAAAAGTATCACTGCTCCTTCCATTAGTGCTGCGCTGAGCTGCAGTGATCAGTAGATATTACAGCTGGAAGTTCTTCATCATTTATGAAATCTCACGTCTTTGACCCCAAATCCCAACTTAAAAAACATCATTTCAAATTCTTCTGTCTTTTTAAACTGACCTTGTTTGCTTTTTAAAATTTGAATTCCTCTCAATAGGGGAGAGAAAAAAGCAGAACTGAATGTTTGATGACAAAGTTACCCAAGATGACCCGTGGTTATTGTTGGCCGCTGACATCAGTGAATGCACTGAGAAACCACCAGGTTGTTCACTACTGGGAACCAGCAGAACCTCACTGGTCAGCCCAGCTGGGGGATCAGAGCCATAACCAGGGTTTGGAGAACCAGACAGAAGGTCAACCCCCACAATGCTGTCGACCAATCAGAGTGGTCTGATCCAAAAGCTTCTTAAAGATACATCAGAGCAGGAGAAACAAAGACCCTGATATTTGAAGGAACCACCTAGAACCTTTCAGATTGAGCTCCAAACATCGCCTTCATCCTCCCTGCTGTGAGGCATGGCGGTGGCAGCATTATTCTGTGGGGAGGACTATCTGCAGAGAGCGCTGGACCTCAGACCAATTCATCTTTCACCAACAGACGAAGCTCAGAGTCCAGATAGAGGAAAGTCCTGAAGGTCCCTGAGGTCAGAGAGTCCGCCTGGCACTCCGTCCAAAACCAGGAGTCCAGCTTGGACAGACGAGGAGGCTGAGACTCTACTGAGCAAAGGCTCATGGGAAATTTCAAACATTTCCTTTCAGTCATTGAGTGGAGAATTATGAAGGAATTCCAATGTGATCTGGTTATGAAAAAGTCTGCAGCCGGGTTAAATCGGGACCAGATGAAGATCTGGTTTTATGTGGAGAAAATGCCAAGCACAGCAGAGGACCTGTGATGCTATGGGCTGCTTTCCCTTAAAAGACTCTTCAGGGTCATCGCTGATTTCATGGCTTCATCGAACTAAAAAGCGATGGTCCAGCAGACATTAAACCGACCCGCTTCTTTCACCACCTTAGTTCTCCCACTGCCGTAGAAAACCAGCAGGGGGCGCTCAAGAGAAAAGAACCTCAGATGGGAGCAACACGAAGCTTTGGACGAATCATCAGCGATATTATTTAATGATTCATACTGAATGATCTCAGACCAAAGGTTGGATTTTTCTATCATTTCCAGATGGAGAAATTACAGAAAATAAAATATTCTTAATGATCAGACTTTAGTGGAGCTTGAAGACGTGTGAGGCAGCTTCTGTTTCAAAAATAAATGGAGACGTCCTCGTCGTTCCTCTCCAGCAGCCTCACCTCATCCCTCTGCTGGAGCTTTCACAGTTATTCAACTGGGAGAGCGGCTTTAATTACATGTCCCCTCAGAGGATGGCGGTGATCACTGCAGCTGCTAAAGAAACCATCCAGGAGGAAGATCCGCCTCATCTGACCCACGTTCAGCGTTCAGACGGAACATATCACAGAGTGTTTGACATTAAATTATAACCGCGGTTCCCTCCTCCCCTCACTGAGGAAGGTTTGTGTCGGATCTGAACCTTTCAGGAAACATAGGAGAGTTTTGGAGAACAGCAGCCTGCTTTTAGAAACTAAAAACTGACCTGAAACATCACTGAATTTAGCTGAGATTAAGCTAACACTGGGGTCAAAGGTTAAGCAGTGTTACTTTAAAGTGTGAGCATTGTGCTAACATGCTCATAAACCCGGCAGAGCGCTACAGGCTACCTTTAGCTTTAGCTTAGTGAGTTCATGCAGGCAGAGAGTAGAATGGGAGGCAGATCTT